TTTAAACGGGTGGCATCGGTCCTGCTCCTCCTGCTCCAGGTGCTCCCTCTTCAGGAAACAGGGACTACCTGGCCTGCATTCCTGCTGCCACTTTGTCATCCTAAGTGAAAGGAAGCATTGATCATAGTCTGTGCTTACAGACTGAAACAAAGAATTGAGAAACAAGAGAGAGAAACTAATGAGAAAATGAATATAAAAAAGAAAATAATATCAAATCAAGAGCAAAAATATTAAAAATAGCCATTTACAGAGTTATATAAAAAGATATAAAATAATTCCAAATATACAATTTTAAAACTATAAATATAGAAACATGTCATTCTAAAACAGCACGAGAATAATAAGAATAATTACAGAAATAATTACAAGAACAGGTACAAGAACGTTTGGGGGTTTTTTTTGGATGCCAAGATGAAATTTCATGTGTAAAGAGTTCACAAGCCTTGCAAAGTGTAATACTTTGGAAAACACCACGCACCTCCTGCTCGCTCCTCATTTAAAAGGGTGGCATCGGTCCTGCTCCTCCTGCTCCAGGTGCTCCCTCTTCAGGAAACAGGGACTACCTGGCCTGCATTCCTGCTGCCACTTTGTCATCCTAAGTGAAAGGAAGCATTGATCATAGTCTGTGCTTACAGACTGAAACAAAGAATTGAGAAACAAGAGAGAGAAACTAATGAGAAAATGAATATAAAAAAGAAAATAATATCAAATCAAGAGCAAAAATATTAAAAATAGCCATTTACAGAGTTATATAAAAAGATATAAAATAATTCCAAATATACAATTTTAAAACTATAAATATAGAAACATGTCATTCTAAAACAGCACGAGAATAATAAGAATAATTACAGAAATAATTACAAAAACAGGTGCAAGAACGTTTGGGGTTTTTTTTTGGATGCCAAGATGAAATTTCATGTGTAAAGAGTTCACAAGCCTTGCAATGTGTAATACTTTGGAAAACACCACGCACCTCCTGCTCGCTCCTCCTCTTTTAAAAGGGTGTCATCGGTCCTGCTCCTCCTCCTTTAGGTGCTCCCTCTTCAGGAAACAGGGACTACCTGGCCTGCTTTCCTGCTGCCACTTTGTCATCCTAAGTCAAACGTGGCATTGATCAAACTCTATCCTTACAGACTGAAACGAAGAACTGAGAAAGAAGAGAGCAAAATCTATGTTGAATATAAAAAAAAACAAAAAACAAAAAACCCCAAAAAACTAACAAAACCCAAGAAAAATAAAAACTATTCCAGAGCAAAAATAATCCTAAAAATAGCCATTCAATCAGTTATATAAATAGGGCTAAAAAATTCCTAGAATACAATTATAAATCTTTAATGATAAAACCCAAAAAACATAATACTAAAAAGAACATGATAAAACCAATTATAAAAATAATTATTAAAAAAGTACAGGGATGTTTGGGGGTTTTTTGGATGCCAAGATGAAAATTCATGTCAAAAGTGTTCAACAGCCTTGGCAAATGTAATACTTTGGACATTACCATGTACCTCCTGCTCGCTCCTCCTCTTTTAAAAGGGTGGCATCGGTCCTGCTCCTCCTCCTTCAGGTGCTCCCTCTTCAGGAAACAGGGACTACCTGGCCTGCTTCCTGCTGCCACGTTGTCATCCTAAGGGAAACGTTGTATTGATCATAATCCCTTCTTACAAACTGAAATATTTAGCAACAGGAGAGCAAAACCAATGATAAAATAATATATTAAAACCCAAGAAAAAGAATAAGAAATCAGGAGCAAAAATAATCCAAAAAATAGTCATTCAAAGAGTTATAAGAGGTATAAAATTATTCAAAAAATACAATTATTAAAATAAAATCATAAAAATAGAGTAATAGAATTCTAAAAATAACATGATAAAAATATTATTAAAATAATTACACAAATAACCACAAAAAAAAGTTGCAGGCTTGCTTGGGGGTTTTTCGGATGCCAAGGAAATGTATGTGAAAAGTGTTCAGCAGCCTTGGCAAGTGTAATACTTTGGAAAATACTACGCTCGCTCCTCCTCGCTCGCTCCTCCTCTTGTAAAAGGGTGGCATCGGTCCTCCTCCTCCTGCTCCAGGTGCTCCCTCTTCAGGAAACAGGGACTACCTGGCCTGCTTTCCTGCTGCCACTTTGTCATCCTAAGTCCAACATGGCATTGATCATAGTCTGTCCTTACAGACTGAAACAAAGACTTGAGAAACAAGTGAGCGAACTTATGCTGAATATAAAAAACCCAAACAAAAAAATAATCAAGAGAAATATAATCCTAACAAGTAACTATTCAGAGTTATTAAAATGGGTATAAAATAATTCAAGAAAACCCCTGTTAAATAATACAAAAATAAAAATTACAGTATAATAATAAATATAAAAATAATTACAGAAATAATTACAAAAACAGGTGTAGTATCTTTTGGCGGTTTTTTGGATGGCAAGATGAATGTACATGTGTAATGATTTCAACAGCCTTGGCAAGTGTAATACTTTGGAAAATACCACAAACCTCCTGCTCTCTCCTCCTCTTGTAAAAGGGTGGCATCGGTCCTGCTCCTCCTCCTCCAGGTGCTCCCTCTTCAGGAAACAGGGACTACCTGGCCTGCTTTCCTGCTGACACTTTGTCATCCTAAGTCAAACGTTGCATTGATCATAGTCTGTCCTTACAGACTGAAACAAAGAATTGCAAAACACGAGAGCAAACAGAGGAATAGAATATTAAAAAACCCAAAAAGAATATTAAAAAACCCCAGAATATCAAGATCCAAAATAATCCTAAAAATAGCCATTGAAATAGTGATAAAATTTGGTATAAAATAGTTCCAAAAATACAATTATAATAGTAGAATTATAAAAATAAATATAATTCTAAAAATAGCATGATAATTATAAAATTAATTACAAACATAGTTATAAACTCGGGTCTTTTTAGTTGCCAAACTGAAAATTGATGTGACAAGATTTATTTCCCCAAAACACCGAGAAAAGTCACATTCTTAGAACTTTCCAGCTTGCTCTCAAGGGCACCTTTTTTGTGCTTCAGTCAGTTACTCGCTTTCCGTTTTACGGCAAAGGTTAATATTTCCTTAACCATAATATTCATGCATCTGTCCCTCGGCACGACGCAGGGGATTTGTGACTTTCTGTGGCTCTCGCATCCCTTTGCCAGGCTTCAGGTGATGTTTCTTCAAGCTAAACCAAGGACTGCATCAGCCTGCTCCTGGCTGCACATGTGCACCACGTTAAGGCTTGTGAGCATCTGCTCTGAAACAGATTGAGAAAAATACAATAAAATCCTGTTAGCGCTTGGAACCTTTGTGATGGGTGTCCTTGAACGCGGCTTTGGAGCTGAAAAAGCCCTGATATTTCAGGCAAGTAACAGTCTCAGTGTCACTCGTCTCCCTGGGAGGGAAGGGGAAGGGGAAGGGAAATGGGGAAGAGGAAGGGGAAGGG